ATTTAGCATTGACCAAACCAGGCATTAAAAGGAAACGTCCTCCAGACAAGCGTCCAAACCAGAAAGCAAAACTCGGTCTGCAGGTACCAGCCCCTCCTGACGAGGAAGGTGACGTAAGCAGCGGTTGCGTCACTTGCCAAAGTCCGCACGTCACCGGCGGGGCGGAGCTGGGATTTGAACCCTCAACTCACGCACCTGCTCAGTGACTCTCTGCGCTGTGGCGCCACCTCGCGAGCCCCTGCAGGCTCCCGGCACCTCAGCTGCCAGCAAATCCTGGCCCCACGCCCGGCTCAGTTTCGGGTTTCCTCAGAGACCCTGCTTCCACCCTGGCCTCCCTCTGACATTTTGCTCGAGTTTCTCTTTCAGTCCCCCTCTTCCCCTGCGCCTCCCTGGCCGGCTCACCTCCACCAAAGTCCCGCCACCAGCTCCAGGTGGCAGCCAGTTTGGAGTTTCTCGCTTTCTGCCCATGGGAGGATTGGGTGGGTGGGGAAGGGCCTCCCGCTGGCCTCCAGCTGTGGGACTTCCCCCTGGAGCTCCAGGGAGGCGGAGGCTAAGTCTCCCCTGGAAATGCAGGCGAGGGATCTGCTGTTTAACGGGACCCTTCCTCCCCGCTGCTCCCTGCCCGAGGCAGGGGTGTTTGTGGCTGGTGAAGGCCCAGTAGCTGGAACCTAGAACCTTCCAGAGGAGGCACTTCACCTGGGGCAGGTGTGTCTGGGAACATGATCTTCAGTCCTGTCCTTGGCTCCATGCTGACTGACTTGTCTGTGTTGGAGAAGGTTCCAGTTCCTGCCGGGCATCTGGGTTTCACACATTGTCTTGGGAAGCTCCATTTGGCATCCCAGAGATGTTCCTTTTTATTGCACTTGCATTTTTTTTAAAAGATTTATTTATTTATGCAGGCAAGAACTGGGGTATAAGCCAGAGGTGCGGGGGGTGAGAGGATTCACTAGAGACAGAGAGGGGAGCAGAACAGGCAGATCTACTGACATACACTGCTGAGGGGAGCAGCAGGCAAGACAGGAGAGGTCTGCTGCACCATGTGGGTAGCTCCCTGGCTGGTGGCAGGGATTGAATTTGTGCTGCAGTGGCTGGCGATAGCTTGATTGCACTGTCTTTAACCCCTGTGCCACTAGGGAGGCCACAGATTTTTTTTTTTTAATTAGAAGTTATAGGAAATACACTTGACAGCCACTGAGCAAACTGGAATATCAATACAGAAAATTCTAGATGTAAAGAACTACCAGCGACACAGGCAGTCTTAAAGATCAAAGTCCTTAGTAGTGGTTCCCAAATCTCAGGGGGCACCAGAATCACAGGCTGGTGTTCAACGTTCTGGTGGGTTCTACCCTTAATGGAACTGCGGGGGCTGGGGTGGAGCCGAGAAGGTACATTTCTAATAAGCTCCCAGGGGTTGTTGGTGCTGTTGTTCTGGGGACCATCCTTTGAGAACCACTGTTCCCAAGCCTCCTGGTTTGGGCTGTTTTGGAGGGTCAGGTTAGCTCTTAAGAATTATGGACGAGGGCCTCCCCGGTGGTGCAGCGGTTGAGCGCCGGGTTGCGAAGCTGCCTGCAGCCTCTTCAGCGCCGGTTCGATCCCCAGCTGCTCCCCGGCCACCGGAGGAGGGTCCCACGTGGTGCGCAGACCTCTCCTGCCGCCCGCTGCTCCCCTCAGCAGTGTACTTCGGTCCTTCTGCCTGCTCTGCTCCCCGCTCTGGCTCTGGTGAATTCTCTCACCCTCCCGTGCTTCTGACTGTACCCAGTGCTCGAATAAATAAATAAATAAATCTTAAAAAAAAAAAAAAAAAAAAAAAAGAATTATGGACGAGGGCCTCCCTGGTGGCCCAGGGAGTCTCAGTGCTATCAAGCTATCACCAGCCACTGTGACATGGGTTCGATCCCCAGCCAGGGAGCTACCCACATGGCGCAGCAGACCTCTCTGTCTCCCCACTGCTCCCCTCAGCAGTGTATTTTAGTAGATCCTCCTGTTCTGCTCCCCACTGTCTCTGGTGAATCCTCTCACCCCCTCCCTGCACCTCTGGCCTACACCCCAGTTCTTGTATGCATAAATAAATAAAAATAAATCTCAAAAAAAAAGAATTATGCGCTAATGATCCCATTCCGTGACAGTATTCCACACGGTTAAGGAACTCTGCTGCAGGGTGCAGTTCGTGCTGATCTGAATTTTCCTGGTTTTATGCAACAGACAGCGTTTCGTTTAAATTATGTGCCGCCGGTAATGTCTTTATGTTCAGGGACCTACCCTGATTGAGAAAAACACCCCCTTTTTTCTTCTAGTGGCACTTCCATGAGTTGACCAACCTCTTTGTGGCCTGGTGAAAAAATGTGGAATCAAGGTGGTGCACTTTAAGGAGAGGACATTTTTCTTGTTATACAAATCAGAATCTATCAGCGTATATATTTTAAAAAATCCCTGCCCTTCCTTCCACTTCCTTCCCAGCGTCCTTTGCACTGGCCCTGTTAGCACTCCTTCGGGTTCTGTTTGAATTATTGATTTGCTGTCTGCCTTTCTCCAGGGCTCACGCGTTCCTCAAGGGCAGGACATGGAAGAAAGGGCAGCTATTTGAAGGAAAAAATATGTGTAATAAGATGTTTATTTTTTTTACTATTTGTTGAGTTTGTGTTAATAGCTGTTTCTGGATGAGGATGCCAGGGTGTGTGTGTGTGCGTGTGTGTGTGTGAGACAAACATGTCATATGGGGCCTAGGGTTTGCATGTGTGAAGTTTCGTAGGGTGTGATTGCAGTGGTTGAGGACTTGGGGCTGGTGGGTGCTGGGCTGTGTGTGATTGTCTTGGGGGGCATGTCTGAGGCTGCATGTCACACTGTCTCCACTCTGTACAGTTCTTTGGGGTTCGCCAGTGGGCATCAGTGCCCGGAGGTAACTGACTTGGAGGGGTGTCCCCAACCCCTTCCCAGTGTGTACCTGGGATTGTGGACACTGTGCTGCCACCCTGGGCCCTGCTGGGTTCTCTCTGATGCCAGCAGTGCCCTGAGGTCCCATGGGCTCCCCTTCCTGTCCCTGGCTCTGCCTCCCCATTCCATGTCACTGTCTGTGTCTGCAGCTCATCGCCCTCCTGGGGGGTGGGGCCCTAGGTGACTGCCCCTGATCAGCTGACCTGTCTTTGTCTGGGGGCCCTTGCAGAGCTGGAAGGGAGAGGCTGGTGTCCCTGAGGTCAAGGAGGCCCTCTGGGAAGTCAGCGGCTGGAGATTAGATATCACAGGGTCAAGAGAGGAAAGGAGAGAGATCTAGGTGTGCTCTGGAGCAGAGCCTGGCTTAGAATCCTTACAGGAGTCAGAACAGCACCTGTTTGTGCAGCACCTGCCGTGTGCTGGTTCTGAATGTCATGCTCTGTATGTTTACATCGTGGGTACTCAGTAGTGTATATAAAGTACTTACATTTGTAAACTAGCAACCATGTAGATTGTATTATGAAAGCCATTGTATGATGTTAGTTACCCTTTATAGAATAAAGCCATTTTCTATTATCCTCTTGAAGGCTGGAGGAAACTGAAGCTCAGAAAGGTGAGTTCACTTGCCCATCGTCACTCAGCAAGCAAGGTGAACCTCCTCTCAAGTGTTTCCAGCCTTGAGTCTTACCCACTGCCGGGTGCCTGGCCACAGAGAAGGGTGGCATCTGGGGGGGGGGGACCGGGAGGGAGTAGGGTTAGCTGAGTGCAGCCTTGTGAAGGGGCTTCCATAATGACAACGCTGCAAACGCTGGCATGCACTTAGCAAGGGGCCTCGCTCCGAGCTGCTACTGGATTATCTCATTTGCTTTTTATACCAGCATCCAGCGCTGAGTACCTCCGTTGTGGCCACGTGGCTGAGAGGTGAAATCCTTTACAAAAGCTCACGGAGGAGCTAGGATTTGGCCCCAGGCAGTCCGGCTCCTTCTGCTGTTTCTTGATCCCCGAATATCCTTTGTAATCTTCACAACAATCCTGGAGTGTAGGAAGACTTGAACACTTGTCAATCTGAGCAGCTCATCCACTCTTGACCTCGATCTTGTCTGGCAGGAGGCCAGAAGCTCCCCGCGGGGTGCCCACCAGCCTGGGGCTGCACCCTCTGCCCTTCCTCTGGCTTGTTTAATTTCTCTTTGCTGATTAGTAAGTGCTGGTTGCAGGTCACAGGAATTGTCTGTTGTTACCCAGATGAGTTTTGGAGTTGTTTGGGGTTGTTTTGTTTTGTTGTTGACGATACAAAAGTTTTAAGTCTCGTGCAGTTCAACAGGTCTTCTGTTTATTTCATAGACGGAAGATTTACAGCCCTGATTTAAGAAAAATCTCCTGGACCCTAGTGAGTGCGAGGTGGGGGCTGGAAACCTCCTTTCTCTTCGGCTCCCACTCTTAGGCCGCTCCTCTGAGAGGGGGAGGGTTGCCTGAACTCTTGTCCATTTGCAAGCACTCTTTATATATTACAGTTGTGAACTCTGTTCTCCCAAGTGTTGCAAAATCTACATGTCCCCGGCTCCCCCTCCTTTTGTACATCGCCTTGCACAGGTGTTATGCAAAGAAGTCTTGTATTTAACAGATTGGGGGGGCACAGCGTCCCTCCCCATTTCTGCCCCCCCCCCTTTCCTTATCTCCAGCTTCTTCATTCCCAAGGTCCTGCATCCGGCAGGCAAGGGAACCAGCCCAACCTCCCTCCCCCTTCGCGCCCCGCAGCCTCCCCTCATTTGCAAGGCGAGTGGTTCCCGTCCTAGTCAAATGCCTGCCTGCACCTGTTGCCCCCACGCGCGCTCCAGAACGCGCGGCACCTGGCGCCAGGCCCATCCCGCTGAGTTGCCCTGAAAGCTGACTCAGTTGCATGCAAACCCCGCCAGGGCGCTGGGCTCCCCAGCTCGCCAGGAAGGTCTCCCCGCTCGCTCGTGGGGCGGGCGGCCCGCTCCCCCGCCCCCTCCCCGTCCGTCCGTCCTTATCTCGCAGCTTCTCGCTTCCCACGGACGGGCGCATAAAGGCGCGCGGGGGCAGGGCCCGGCAGTGCCGCCATGTCCCCGCTGGGCCCACTGCTGCTGGCCCTGGCCTTGGCCGCCGTGCCCGGCGTCCGAGGCGGCTGCCCCGCGGCCGCCGACCTCAAGCACGCGGACGGCACGCGGACGTGCGCGCTGCTCTTCGACAAGAGCGACCCCTACTACGAGAACTGCTGCGGGGGCGCGCAGCTGGCGGTGGAGCCCGGCGCCGACCTGCCCTTCCTGCCCTCCGACTGGGCCAACACGGCCTCCTCGCTCGTGGTGGGGCCGCGCTGCGAGCTCACCGTGTGGTCCCGGCGCGGCAAGGGCGGCAAGACGCGCAAGTTCTCGGCGGGCGCCCACCCGCGCCTGGAGGAGTACCGCCGCGGCGTCTTCGGGGACTGGGCCGACTCCATCTCCTCGCTCTACTGCAGGTGCCCGCGCGCGCCCCCGCCCCGCCCCGGCCCCGGCCCACCCACCCTGGGCTCACGCTGGCCCAGACTCCCCAGCCCCCGACCCAAGCTGGGAGTTCTGGCCGTCCCCTTCCTCTCACCGGCACCCCCTCTCGCAAGCACCCCCGGCCCCCAGGCTCCTTGGATCCCACAGACCCACCTCTGCCATTGCCCAACCCCAACTCCAGCGCCTCCTCTGAGATGGCTCCTCTCCAGCCGCCCTGAGCCCCCGGCTGCTTGCCCACCCACTGGTGCACTTCCCAGCCGGGCCAGACTAACTCTGGGTGGCCCGGCCTGCCTTGGAGATGGGAGTCATCCACCCCCTCACCTTTGGGCCCCCAGAAGCAAAGCCAGCCCTATCCTACATCTGAAATCATCAGATTCCAGCACTTCAGGCCTCAAGATCCCAGACCCAGTTCTGGGAACCCCCTATCTAGCCCTCTGCGCCCCCCACCCCCACCCCCCAGTCCCTCTAGATCAATCTCCATCTCAGCCCCAGAAACCACCTTCAGAGCCCTTGTTAAAGTTCTGGAGCCCCAGGCCCCAACCTTGGTGGGCCTGAGCCTACTCTGTGCACACATATCTACGCTCACACACCCCGGGATCCTAGATCTTGCCAAAGCACCCCTCAAAATCACCCCACTTACCCCATTTCTCCCAAGAGCTCTAAAAGCCCCAGCCCAAGCTCCCAGGCAGGATGCCTACCTAGCTCCTGACCTTGGAGCCCAGCCCCAGCCCCCTGCCCCATCTCAGACTTCTAGAACCTCCCACACTCTGGATCTCTGAGCCCCTGGCACTCCCTGATACTTTTTATTTTGTTGCAGATGCTACTGATGCCTTAGAGCGCCCTCATCTGTCCCCCCCAGAGTGCTGAGCCCCTGGGGGCTGCTGGAGTCCCCGAAGCCCAGGAGCGCCTTTCTGTCTGTTTTCCCCACTGCCTCCCCTGCAATACAGCCTTTGTAAAGTTGTCCCTGTCTGCCATCTGCTTGTGATTGGGACCAAGTCCACACAGAACCGGGCCAGAAGGGATGAGGACACGGTGGCCGGTCCCGGGATTCTGCGTGGGGTTAGGTGTGCCCCAAGACACCCCCACAGTCACGTGGGACTTGCAGTGGTGTCCTGGGTGACTGTGAAGCACTGAAATGCTTCCCACCCCTTTTGGTAGCCCTTCCCTGCCTGCCCTCCAGCTGCTCTGGCCTGCCAGGGACAGACCACCTCTGCCTTCATGCAGGGGAGAGCAGGAGGCCTTCAAACACCAGACCAGATTCGGGCCTGAGCCTGCGGTGTGATCTGCCCAGAGCCCAGGGCTCACGGGCTGTTAAATACTTTCAATCTCCCCAATTGGCACGTTTCTGAAACTGAATTTGCAATCTGCCCACTGCTCCCCCCCCCCCACTTCCAGGCTGATGTCTCCTGATGGACGCCTCGGGCTGGGGCCTCTGGAGGAGTTAGAGAAATGAGGGGACTAGCTCAGGAGGATGACAGCTTGGGGATAGAGGGGGGAGAGGAATTCAGGGCGATTCTGAGAGTTAAGAGATGTGGGAGAAGAGGTCAGCAGAGATGCCAAGAGGCCGTACATTAGGTTATGTGAAGAGATCAGCGGTCAAGGAAGTGCAAAGGCCCCGGGGTTGCGAGGCGCTGGAGAATCAAGGACTGGAAAATGTGCCCAATGGAAATGCACAGAGTGAAGTTCTAAAGACTGGAGACCAGGGAAATACTCAGCATCCTCGGGCACTTGTATTCAGTCAGTTCTTAAAGATTTATTGAGCACCTACTTAGCACTGACTTAGGAAGAAGAGGCTACTGCCCTCCCAGAGCTTGGAGATGGCAGGGCAAGTGGCAGAGTCATTCAGTGATATGTGAAGATGTCAAAGTCACCAAGGGCCAGGCAGGGTTATACGGGGCCTCGAAGGTGGTGAGGGATCTAGGAACAGCAGGAACGGGGAGGCACTGAGGGAGCACAGCAGAGGCAAAGGCTCAAGGAGGTACTATGGGCTCAGGGGTGCTTAGGGAACAGGGAGGTGCTAAGGGTTCAGGGAGGTGCTAAAAGTCACGGAGTTCTCAGGAAAGAGGGGTGCTAAGGATTCGGGGGGCCGTCAAGGGGTGGGTAGAGGGGACGAGCGGCCAGCCAGTCACTCCCTGAGCTGCACAGACACCGAGGAGTTTGTCGCCCTTGTCCGCAGCAGCCCAGCAGGCTCCATCCGGTTCTTGGTCTTGTGCAGGAAGTGGACGAAGCGCACGCCGGAGCCATACTGGCGGAACACGTGGGACACCTAGGGCAGCACCCGGGGTTCGAAAGAAGCCCTTATCAGGGGTCCTGGGCCCCACTGGCCTCCAGCCTCCCGCTGTGAGCTCCTGGGACGTGGACACAAGTCTGGGCCCTGGGCTGGGAGTCTCACCTGGAGCCAGCAGCCCTGGGGGTCTCGCCCAGAGGTCCGAGGGGCCACGTGGTGCTGGGCGATGATGGAGCGGCGGTCAGCGGCCAGCAGCCACACGTGCAGCTCGTAGACGCAGACGTCCAGGTGGCTGTTCTCATACCTGGGTGGGTCCAGGCCTTCAGCTGCCAATATCCCGGGCCCGACCCCGGGCCCCAATCACCTGACTGGCATCTACTCTGTGCCCCTGGGCTGGGGAGTGCTGGCAACACAGCAGTGACTGGGACAGCCCCACGCCTGCCCTCCCGGGGTTCAGAAACCAGTGTGTATGGGGGAGACAGGTCACTGGGCTGTGGGAATGGTCAGGATGGGGAGGGGAGTCCGCAGCCTGGAGCGTATGGAATCTGACCTAGCAGGTAGTCAGGGAAGGCTTCCAGGTGGAGGCCGCGTGTAACTGGCTCTTAGAGGACAAGGAGGGAGTCCTCCCTAGAGCACAGAGGGGCAAGTGCGCCTGAGGAAAAAGAATGGCTTAAGCCCGGCACACCTCAAAGCCGAAAGGCTCAGAGATTCAGAGAGAAGGGGCCAGAGCGGGTGGGGGGCCTGGTTCCCAGGGAGCAGGTGCCCCTGGGGAGGAGCTCAGTCTAAGACAAGCTTTGCACGCTGGGGAGGCACCTACCAGTCCATGACCGTGATGTCCGGCTGCTCATCGTCCAGCAGCTCCTCCCACAGGCCCTCGGCCAGGAGGTTGATGCACTGCTGCTTCACCGTCCAGCTGTGAGGGGCGTGGGGAGGCGGGTCTGGGGCCTGCTGGGATTGCAGGGCTTCTCCCAGGTCCTCCCGGCCGCGGGCTGCCGTGTAGGACTCAGCTGCCGCCCGCCCCTCTGAAGAGCTGCACTCTGAACCCCGTGTTGCAGGGGAAACCAGGTTCAAGAAGGAAAGCGACTTGCCTGACCAGGTCAAGCAGCAAAGAGGTGGCAGAGCCTCCATCCCAATGGGGCACGGGTGGCTCTGAGCCCGAGGGACACCGCCTCCCCGCCGAGCAGCAGCAGGGCTGTTAATGCTGGTGGCGGGGTGACCCCTCCCGAGGAAGAGTCGAGAAATGGGAACAGCAGCTGCTGTTGCCTGGACACCTACTATGTGCAAGCCAGGACCTACACTGTGTGTTTCCTGAACATTCTGGCTCACGACCAACCATTCACAGAGCAGAACACCGAGGCCCAGCGGGGCAAAGTCAGATTCCCAGGTCCCCCAGCGAGGCAGGCCACAGGGGTCCCCGCCACGCACCTGAGGTTCTGCTGGAGGTCCTCCGTGCCAATATACCAGCCCTGGAAATTGCCTGCGGGCGCGGGAGCAAGGGGTGAGGACAGGCCGGTCTCCTCCCCCCTCCCCTCGGGGGCCTGCGCCCGGGGCTTACCCAGGCTCTCCAGAGGCTGCTGGGTGGGGCCGGTAGGGGGCGCCGGCTCATAAATGTTGATGCCTGAAGTGACGGGGGGGCGGGGGGGTAGCATCAGCTCCACAGGTGGGTGCCCCCTGCACCTCCCCAGCCCCGCCCCGGGGCGCGCGCTGGAAAGGCAGGAGCCCGCGCTCTACCGACCGGGCCGGACCAGCCGGGCAGGGCTGCATGAGTCAGGCGGGGAGGGAGCCCCGGGGGCGCAGAGGGACGGCGCGCACGGGGGGAGGCACCGCGGTGAGACAGGCCGGGAGAGGCGCCGGCGGAGACGAGACTACGCGGGCAGCAGGAGGGGCAGCAGGAGGGGCAGCAGGGGGGGCAGCGAGATGGCCAGCCGGGCTGACAGGGGGAGACAGGGCCGCGGCGGAGACAGGGAGCGGCAGGGGGGAGGCGGGCTGGGGGGCGGGCAGCGAGAGCCACAGGGGGCGCGAGCCTGGGGAGGGACCGGAGCCGGCGTCTGGCGTCTGGGCCGGCCGGGCCGGGCCGCACCTTCGGGGTTGGGCGAGCGCAGCAGGTTGCGGTACAGCGGCCGCCGCAGGTAGAGCAGCTTCCAGGTGAGGCGCGGGGGCAGCTCCAGGCCCTCGCTCGGCGGCCCCCACTCCTCCAGCAGCAGCTGCCGCGCGTAGGCCTCCGACGGCGGCTCGGGCTGGGGGAGCGCGGGGGGCTCCGGGGTCATGGGCGACGGCGGGGGCGGCGGCGTGGGCGGCAGGGGGGGCTCCTGGAGCCCCGCCAGCTCGCCGGCCTGCCCCCCGCCGCCGCGCGCCGGTCCCTCCTGCGCCGCCGCCATCCCTCGGGTCTGGGTGAGGATCCGGCTCCTCCGCGGGGCTCGGGGTTCACCGGGGCGGGGCGCGCGGCCCGGCCTTTAAGAGAGGGGTGTGCTGGGGGCAGGATCGGCTCCCAGGCCCGCCTCCCTCGCGCCCAGGAGGCCAGGTCCTCTCCTTCCCGCAGGAATCTGGGGCCCCCAGCTCCCGCCTCCCTCAGTCCCCTCCTCTCCCCAGAAGGCAGGAATCCAGGCCCCAGCCCCTCCTGGTTCCCAAGCCGCCCGCCCCAATTTCCCCAGGGCCACCTGAGGACCCGGCGCTGGCCCTGGAGCGGGGTGTGACAGATGAGCTAATGCCAGGGCTCCCGCTGGTAATGAGGCCCGTCCACCTCATTAAGACTCGGCATGGCAGGATTAAAAGGTTAACTAATGAAGGCCTCTCCTGCCAGCGCCCCCACCTTCCCCCCAACTCTGGCCGTGACTGTGAGCAGTAGAGGGGAGAGGTCCCGCCTGGCCACTTCCTCCTCCTCCCCACATCAAGGAGACACACCCTCAGGACCCTGGCATTTCCTGTCCTGGAAACCAGGCTGCCGGGACAGACCCGAAGCCAGAGATGGGGAGCCCCAGAGAAACACTGAGACAGCAGCAGGGAGGGAAGTGGCAACGCCCTCTTGCTTTCCAGGGGGCCCTGCACCCCTTCCGGGAGCTGGGGACACCGATGTCGGGACTCCTCCTAGGTCATAGGGAGTTAGGAGTGAGGGGTGAAGCAATGTGGAGGCAGGAACTAGGGGTGCAGAGGAAGTGGGGTGGCGGAGGAACCTGTAGGGTTAGATGCCCATGGCCACATCCCGCTGTGCCTCACACCGGCCAGGTGAGCACAGGTGACAGCGCCCCGGCAGCGCTTCCTGCCTGCGCGGTGTGGCTGAGGGCGCCCACAGGTTCACTTGTCCCCTAATGACTGCATGGAGGCAGCTGCTATTACTGGCATTTTATAGGTAAAGAAGAAAATGACAGTACAAGGCCGTGGAGCGTGCGCCGTCCCGTGCACTCCGGGACCCATCTGGCCTCGCTCACCCACCCCGAGTGCTGCTGCCGTTACCCGGCTCCCAGGGGCCCAGCCACAGGCTTGCACGGTGCGTCCTGCCCCGGATTCCTGCAAGACACACACTCAGAGCCCGGCTCACACCTGGACGGGGTGCCCGTGCCGCGGAGGGCTGCCTGCGTGCCAGGCGTTGCTCTGCCCTCTTAAGCGGAGTCGCTCACTCCCTTCACGAAGCCTCTGCACGCTCCCTGGAGAGCAGACATTCCTGTTATACCCATTTAGCAGATAAGGAAACTGAGGCACAGAGCGGTCTAGTTACTCACCTGAGGTTGCACAGCTGGTAAGTTCGATGAGATGCACAGACAGGGGTGCAGATGCAGATGGCCCGGAGAGAAACACGGACGCACAGAAGTGGACAGAGGACGAGACTCTTTTTTGATCCGTGTTAGCTCGTTGAAACGCACGGTCACCCTAGGAAGTGGCACACAGAGCAGAAGCTGGCTCCCCAAGTCCCTGACGCCCTGGAGGCTCCAAACTAGCGCTCACAGAGCCCAGGACACCCCTAGGGCTAGAGCCCTTCCCTGGCTACCCCAGCTCGCAGCCCCGGGCCCATGAGGGGTCACCTGAGCCCCTAGCCCCACGGGAGAAGGAGGGGGGAGGGCAGCCCGGGCCAGAATCCAGGGCAGGGAGTGGCCTGAACCACGCTGTGGATGAGGAGCAGCGCCCCTACCTGCCCCGGCCTGCCAAGATGCACGCATCCTCTTCCTGGCCGCCCCCTTTCTCTCTCTCTCTCTCTCCCCCCAATCTCTCTCTCCCCACCCCACGCAACCCCCCTCTCTCTCTTGCTGCGAGCGCGCGCGCGCGCACACACACACACACACACGCAGCCAAAGGCGTCTCATGAGAGCCCAAAACCAGCCCGTCACTCCCCCACTTGAACCTGCCATAGCTCCCCTGTGCCCCAGGAGGGCAACCCCAGCTCTAGCCGGCATGGAGACCCTGGATTTCCAGGCCCGGCCTCCAGGACTGCCCACCCCCCCGCCCCTTGCTGGGATTCTGCTCATGAACCTCTTACTGCCTGGAACGCCCCCCCTTCACCCCATCTCCACACCCAGGTTCCCATGTCGGTGTCCCCAGGGGCTTTTTTTTTTTAAGATTCTAAGTCATTTCATTTTAATCGCTCTTTTTTTTTTTTTTAAGATTTATTTATACATGCAAGAGCTGGGGTACAGGCCAGAGATGCAGGGGAGTGAGAGGACTCACCAGAGACAGTGGGGAACAGAACAGGCAGACTGACTGAAATACACTGCTGAGGGGAGCAGCAGGTGAGACAGGAGAGGTCTGCTGCGCCATGTGGGTAGCTCCCTGGCGGGGGATCAAACTGGTGCTGCAGAAGCTGCGGACAGCTTCATAGTGCTGTCTTAACCCCTTGCGCCACCAGGGAGGACCCCCCCAGGGGCTTTTTTTTAAAAATGTGCATCTTCAAGTCCCTCTCCCAGGAGTCTGATTCAGTTCCTCTGAGATGGCTTTGGGAGCTAGAGTTTGGGGCACACCCGTGCCCGCACCCCACTCTGTGAGAAATACTTCTGTGCGAATCTGAGTCATCAGGGTCACAGCCTGGGCTCTGCAAAGCCAAGTGGCTTCAACCTTGGAGCTCAAATTTCTTTTCTCTTCCTTCCAAGAAGCAAAGGCCCTAGAGACGGACAGTCTCTGACAGGCAGCTCTCCACACAGGCCACGACCTGGGTGACAACACAGCGCCCCGCCCCCGCCCCCACGAGCCAGCTCTCTGCTGTCACCAGCGGTGGTGACTGCACTTTGGGACCAGGGTAGCAAGTTCTTATAAAACCAAGCACACGCCCACCTCCCGGCCAGCGACCCCACCCCATTAGCCATGAGGAATGACAGCGGCCTCTGTCAGCACCTGAGCTGGGCACAGCAGGTTGCTCCGCACCCAGGGCAGCCGCATGCCTACAGCAGGCGGTGGAAAAACCGGGATGCGCACACGCAGCCAGCAGAAGGTGAGGACTGTGGAAATAAGCCACTACCTGGAAGAACCAAGAATCCCACCGTCAAAAACCAGGCCAAAAAGAGTGCAGATGAGGGCTTCGTGTCCACAAAATCCTGGAAAAGGCAGGAGGAATCTGGACTCAGAGAGCAGGCCGCTGGAGGCTGGCACTGGGGCGCACGGCGGAGCGGCCTCTGGGGTGACAGAGGGGACTTCGGCACTGCGTGATCTCTGTCAAAGCACAGGAAAGGGTACATTTCACATGGGTGTATTTCACTGTATTGTAGAAAAAAGAAAAAGTGCAGGGCGACGCTACATTCTAATAAGGAACTCACTACAAGCTTATTAAGCAAAAAGAGCAGGAGGTAGGACAGTGCAAAAACAAGGATCCAGGGCCTCCCCGGTGGCGCAGCGGTTGAGCGCTGCATAGCGAAGCTGCCTGCAGCCTCTGCAGCGCCAGTTCGATCCCGGCCGCCGGCGAGGGTCCCACATGGCATGACAGACCTCTCCTGCCGCCCGCTGCTCCCCTCAGCAGTGTATTTCGTCAGTCTGTCTGTTCTGCTCCCCGCTCTGGCTCTGGTGAATTCTCTCACCCTCCCGCACTTCTGACTGTACCCAGTGCTTGTATAAATAAATAAATAAATCTTTAAAAAAAATAAAACAAGGATCCGTAGCTCCCCGATGCCCTTTCACCTCTTTCTCTTTAACAAATACTTATTAAACATCTACAGCGGCCAAACCCTGTGCACTGAGGACCTAATGGTGAAAGGTCAGAGTCCCCCCTGTGGCTTCTGGCCTTGTGTGTGTGGGGGGAGAGGGGTTGGCCTCAGTGAGGCAACAACTAACTAGTTAATTGGCAAACAGCTCTAAGTGCTTTGTAGGTGAAGAACAGGCTGTGATGACAGAGAAGGGCAGTGGGTGGGAAGTCTCTTTTAGCTGGGGTGGTCAAGGAGGGCTTCTTGGAGGAGGTGACCTGAAGGAGGAGAGACCTGAAGGAGGTGAAAGCGCTGGCTATGTAAAGGGCTGGGGGCACAAGCCCTGAGGTGGGATTAGTGGAGTGTGTTTGGGGACCAGCAGGCAAGCCAGTGTGACTGGAGAGAAGGGAATGAGAGATCAGAATGAGGATGGAAGGATTTATGCATGTACGTGTAATAAAGTCTAAGTGAAACAACATAACTGATCTCTCACTGAATGAGGGGAGGGGCAGGGAAACAGTAAGGATGGAGATGAAGAAGGATGGGACTGGGCAGGAGGGATGGGGTGGTTAGTGCAAGACAGAATCAGAGAGGAAAGACTTGACTGACTTTGAAGATTTAAGCGATGGGCAGAGGTGACACTATTTGCAGAAAGGGGAAGAAGAGGCCAGAACAGATGGGGGTGGGAAGGAGGCAGGAAATCAAATACTCTATCACATATGTGTTAAGTCCTGGGCATCCAAAGGGCCGATGCCAGCGGACATCTGGATGTGTGAGGCATCTGGGTGCTGAGGGGTCAGGGCTGAGACACAAATCTGAGCGGCCTCGCCACACTGACAGCTGAGGACTGAGATGATACAAACCAATACTAGCAAGCATGGAGTGTGAATGTGTATTAGCCAAATGCACCCTCTAAAGTAGGTGTTATCGTTAAACCCACCTTACAGAAGAAAGAAATAAGGCACAGAGAGGTGAAGTGACTTGCCCAAGGTCACACAGCCAGGATAAAGCAGAGCTGGGATTTGAACCCAGGCCAAGTGGCTTCAGAGATTATGTCTCCAGGAAGGATGGTCCAGGTTAGGGTCTAAGCGCCTCATGCTTGTATCTGGTTCCTGGGTGAGGCGTCTCACCAGCTGACTCTCACCAGCCACCTGACCACAGCCCTAAGATCCTTCCCACTACCAGAGGCCTCGGATTAGGTTCTAGTTTGTAGTCATATTTTCAAGTCATTGGGTTGGTCCTGATCTACCTCAACATAGTTCTGCCCCCTTTACATCCCAGCA